GCAACACGGTTCGCGAGGGTGAGAACGGCAGGTACGCTGGATATCCAGAGGAGCATCGTTTCTAACAGACTGATTCATCTCCATAAACCTGGGTAAGGAGGAGGCGGGACCAGCGATGCTTTCACTGTCCTGTGTGACCACTGCATCCTGTAGCTGCAGGTCTATGCTTTGTAAAGAGCAAGCTGCAGGGCAGCAGGCTGCTCTGCACTGAACTCCTGCAGCTCCTGTTGTTGTAGTGTGATTACTAGGCCCCATCGTCATCATCAGCATGTGAAGATTTCCACACACAAACTCAGTGTTACAAAAAGCAGGCAGCACCACAGCTGTGGGTCCTGTGGGGACGTGGCCACAGACTTTGTGTCACATCTCTGACCATTAACAGCACACGAGTCCCTTTTAATGTTCTTGATTAAGAAATAAAACAAACACCTGTTTGTGGACGGTCTGTGTGAACAAAGACACTGAGCAAAAGGCTCAGCATTAATTACTGTGGAGCTGCTTGCTATGAACTTAAAACCTCCACCAGAAACCTCCAGTCATCACGTACGGGGTCACAGCTAATATCCTGATTGTTCTGCATCTTCTCGTGTAGGTGTCGTGGTTCACCTGTTCTTTCCCCTTTGCTTTCTTTAAGAAGTCCTCCACTGCATCAACAGCTTGCTGGAAGCGCTTTCCTTTGTTTATCTTGATCATCTCTTCTTTGTGGGCATGGTACGGCTTCAGCTGTTCCACTTTGATCCAGGCACTGGAGACACAGACACAACTCTCCCGTATCAGCTGGAGAAGGCACAGCATGCTGGGCCTGAACAGGAAGCTGATGATCATACTTACTGGTCCTCTGTTCCAAAGAACTTCACAAAGTGGCACTTCTTGCCCCGGGGCTTTTTCAGGTCCTTGGGGGGGCTCACTATCTGAAACCAGAGTGTTTTGGTGTAACGTTACCTTCATTTAAAGTTAACAGACGCATGGACAAGCTGTGGCTCCTTACCTTTCCTGGCCATGGTGGGTAACGACCGAGCTTCCCCCTGAAATAAGAGCACACAGTTAGCACCGATCTCCACAGTTCACTGTCCTCTCTCTGCTCAGTTCCACCATGAGCTGGTGGCTTTGGCAACGCGAGACATCTGCTAACATTATCAGTGAAAGTCAGATAAAAAAACTGGGCTAAGCGCGGATCACTCCCGGGTCTGTGTGGCATCAGCTGCCCGCCTCAAACCCCCGCGGTGTTGCTTCGGTACTAAAGTATTGAGCCAGCAGCCCGAGCGCTAACAGCAGGATCCGCAGATCAGCACCCGAGCTCAGCGGCGCTCGGTGGGGTTCGTCCCCGTGCCTCCGCACACTGCCCCCGCCTTCTCAGCACTCGTTAGGCCCGGTTTCACTCAGATTGCTAACTGCGTGTCCCGTGGTGCCTTTGTAACGGTCTCAACAAACAAACGCGCAAATGTGTGGAAATTAAGCCTTTACGAAAAACGTGCAAACGTGCCCGCCCGCAGTAACACGGAAGCGGAGCGCAGACATCCGCTCAGGCTGCGCTGCTAGCAAAGATCGTCGCAGACCACAACATTTCCACGAGCCGAGGCTCTGAGTCCGTGTAACGTAGGTCTGCACGCAGACACGACGGCGAATAAAACGATCTTCAAAGACACGTTTGCACGGGGAAAAACAGCTGCCTAGTTCGGGTTTAAACCGTTACTGTAGCTTGTTTGCTAGCCAGCAGCTAGCGTCGGCTGCAGGCTGAGTCAGCTCGGTTAGCGATTTGTTTGGGTCGGCTATCACTAACCCAGCACGGGAAACACTTGCAAGGATTACACCTGGTTTACGGCACGGAGAAACATCACTGCCACACGTCCTGATGCAGCGCTGCTCTGTGGCCCGCAGACAGGAAGCGGAGCACTCAACCTTGTCTAAAGGTTACTCACCACACTAGGTCCCCGATCCTCAGATGCACCGTCGCCATCTTACAACTTTAATAAAACGTCGCACTGAATGAGAGGAAAAGACAACACACACCCACTAATCACATGTGAGGCCAGCCCCACCCCTTTCTCGTACGTCACATCCGTCGCTCTGTTGTTTACTACACATTTCAAGCAGCAGCAGCAGCAGCGTGCACAATATCTACAGCATATCTTTCATACATAACGACATAACCCACAGTAAGAAAGGACTCAGCCACGGCGAGCCACACGCTGGTCCCAGGCCTGCAGAAGCGGGGAAGGTTACATCGGGAAGGGGATCCGCAAAGAAGCCTTGGCCGAATCAAACTGCCATTATTACAAAAATGCGCTTTCCACATAGGGTCGACCAACTCTGCTGCCTGAAGACAAACAAGAAGGAGGGAGGTGTGAGTGTGTGGAGGGAGAGCAGGGGGAAAGGAAGCGAGGTCAGGAGCACTGGAGGGGGATTCAAGTTGTTCTGCACAGGTGTGCTGTGACAGTAAATGGGAGTGCTTCTTATATAATGCTTTCCTACGTTACGTGAGCACTCAAAACACTTTAAACCAGGGGCGAGTTTAGCCCATTTTTGGGGGTGCTTCAGCAAAATGAATCAAAGCACCCCCAAAGATTTCTTACTTTTTTTGACAATATTTGCTGTTTGTGTGACACACTACTAAAAATATAAAAAACATACAGTACTTGGTTGAGACGTAACATTTTAACAACAAAAGTATAAATAACCCCCCGCCCTTCCAAAATGGTTTGTTCCAGCTCTCCCCTGCTCTGGCTCGAGCGCCCTTTCTGCCAGAGCGATGGTGGCTGAGACTCAGCGGAGCGAAGGTGTAAGTGCCTGGCTTAAAACAGAACATATTAGCTGCATTTAACCTCCAGTTACTCTTTATATAGTTGGTAGGAGTCAGACCATGTTTCTTTTTAGCTGAAAAACATTACACCAGGTAACCTGCAGTGTTGAAAACGTGTTTCCCCACGATGTTTGCTACTCTATTTGACCGCCCTGTTGCTCCCATTGAAATGTATACAGCCTATTTAAAATCTAAAACTTAAAATTGTTTGTAGCCTGCTGTTGTTACCACTGACCTGTTTGAAATGGAATGAGAGAAGCTGGTTATTTGGTCATATGTGCCAAGATTGAACCCAGGAGCCACATTCAGGTAAAAGTGAAAGAACAAATGATCCGTCAATCAAGAATAATGTTGGATCAGTGTTTCAATATTTATATCTTTTATTAGATGTTCATGTGGTTTGGTTATTTGCCTTTTGGTTGAAAGTACACTGAGAGAGGACTTTTTTTTTATTAGTGATCTTAATAATATTTTTTTCATATTAATGTAATTTTCTTTTTATCTAATTGAATACAATCTGTGTATGATTGTCAGTCCAAAGAGGGAGAGAGGAAAGAGGGGAACATGAGGAGAAAGTGCAAGGTCAGGAAGAACCAGGTAAGGAAACAGACAGGGAGCAGTGACAGGCACAACAGAAACTGTTAAACTGCTTGAGAGAGTTGATCACCAAAAGTATTTTCCAACTTCAAGGTGAGGCGACACAGGTTAAAATGAAAGGAATAAATCTGCAGAGCCATAGTAGTATCTGCAGTAAAGATATTTTCATACATTGTACCATAGACAAAGTTGCCTCCAATTTTTATAATTTTTTTTATCAATAATTTGTACATTTGTATGTAAATTTGTACATTTCAAGGACTCTATTTTTGGAGTCTATTTTCATATCTCTGTATTGTATTATACATACACATTAAAAGTGAATCTCTGTCCAAAAAATGCACTCAGTTTACTTCTTACTCACTATGATCACCATTCATCATTTTCTCCCAGTAAAGTAATTAAGGTTAGGATATTTTTAAATTCCAATCCATTCTTCCTTTGCAGCATTTTAATAACCTTTATCAGATTTGATGGTTTTGTTACAGACTTTAAAGAGTGTTTTGCTTTTCTTTCACAAATGTGGGATTAAATTGTGTTAAAATGTACAAAACAGTGATGTCATGTTTTGTGACGAGGACCCAGGCACAGAGAGACTTGATGAATTTAAGAATCTTATGATTTAATAAAGAAATTTGCAGACTTACACAGAGAGGGTAAAATTATGATTGATAACAGAGATGAAGACAACAGACGACGAGGACAGAGAGGAACAGGGGTTTAAATGCACCAAGGAGACAGTCAGAGAGAACTCGGGACAACTGGAGACATTTAAGGATGCAGGGACTGACAGAGACGGGGAAGACGTCTCATCGTGACGAGTAAAGTTGATCTTGCCTGGCTGAGCAGCTCTCTGGGTGCTCAGCACCCCAAAGCTCTGATCCTAGAATCGCCCCTGCTTTACACAACATGTCTTATTTATCATTCAAGGACATCTTTCTGTCTAACATTCACACATTCATACTCCGATGAACGTATCAGGAGTGACTCTGGACTCCATTGAGTCACCAGTAATGAGAGCTGTCACCTGTCATGTGTGAAGTCTTATGGGCTCTGAGGTGGTACCGGGGACTTTCCTCGGGACCTGTGGCTTCTGGACCTAGCACCTCAAACCTGTTGGACACAGTAATGAGTGCCGCAGGACTGTCTTCCTTCTTTGCACTCCCCTTGGATAACTGTGCAGGGTGCAGAAGGAGCCTGCACAGTAAGAACAACCCCAGGTTTCTCTTCAGCACTGTAGACAGGCTGACAGAAAGTCAGAGCTCTGTTCAGCCAACCATCCCTTTAACCTTAACTAGTAACAATTTCCTCCCATATTTACAGTGTAACAGGTGTAGGCTGCTGGGAGCTTCCTGTAACGCCATTAACTCGTATGTTTATACACCTCTCTGCATTTAATTATTAGTTATTATTAATCTCTGGGTCGCTTCCACAGCATGTCTTTGTTCTGTCTTCCTCCCCTCCTCTCTAATTGCATGCAGCAGATGGCCTCGCCCCTCCCTGAGTCTGGTTCTGCTGGAGGTTTCTTCCTGTTAAAAGGGAGTTTTTCCTTCCCACTGTCACCAAAGTGCTTGCTCACAGGGGGTGGGGGAGCATCCGATTGTTGTTTGTTTTTCCTGTATTATTGTAGGGTCTTTACTTTTTACAATATAAACTGCCTTGAGGCAATTGTTGTAATTCAGTGCTACATAAATAAAATTGAATATTGATTCCATAAATTCCATACGTTTTCCACAATAAAATACCCCACAAGACATTACATTTTGTTAGAATTTTTTATTGAAAGCACACAGCTGACAACCCTGTTTAAAGCCCATAAATAAATGAAACACTTAGTACAGTTTTAGTGACAATATTTCAAAGATACATTCTTAACCCTGCCACCAAGTTAAAGAAATTAAAGATCGAACTTTTCAGCATCAAACATTTATGTGGCTGTGATGATGGTAATATGAGTCCATGTATTCATGCCAGATATGCATAAGGAAATTAATGCATGGTGTATTTGGGACTCGTAGGTAAAACACATAGTAACTGAGGGTCACCACAACATTAAAGTGAGAATATAAGTATATATTAAAAGCTAGGAAGACCAGTCAAAACAGATCTTTTTAGAATGAAAACGTATCTTTTAAAGCCCGGTGTTCTTGCCCGATACCAATGCACCAAACTCCTGGATGGAGATTTCTTTATTTAAGTACTGCTGAAGCTGGCGGTTTGTGATGTGTCCAAGGCACAGTGCATCATCGATGGAAAACTTTTTCCCTGACTTTCTGTCATGAAGCACGGAGGATTCTCCCTGCGGCCCTTTGACTGAGATCTCTTCCCAGTCACACTCCTGGCTCTGCAGGTTGACAAACATCTTCCAGTCGATCAGCCCTAGCTTGTAGGCTTCCTCTGGTCGCATCTCCTTGCCTGTATCTGGGTCGATGACGACAATAGACCTGCGGAGATGGCTTTCCCTCTGTTCCCTCTTTATCCTCACAGCTGCTAGGTTCTTTTTAAGCTTCTCTATCTCCTCTTCCTTCTGGTTTGTTACAGCCCTCAGCTCTGCCAATTCCTTCTGTAGTGAATCAAGCCTCAACTCCAAGTTCTTTGAATCCTCTCTTGGCGCAGACTCTGTAATAAGCCGAGTCTCTTTGCTTGTGATATCAATCTCTGACCGAAGCTTGCGAATCTCATTTTGCAGCCTTTGGTTTTCCTGCTGCAATCGGCTACTTTCATCACGGATGTAGTCCAATTCTTTGGTAGACTTGGTGTTAGAAAACTCCATATCAGAGAGCCTGGAATTGAGGGTGGATAGTTCTTGGTCAAGTTCTCGCCTTCTCCTTTTCTCTTCTTCCAGAGTTATCTTTAGGTTCTCAATCTCAATCTCTGCCTCTGGATCCCGTTCAACCTGGACTTTCTCAGTGCGGACAACCCTTTCCTTCACATCTACCTTTTCCAGGGTGATCTGCTGCTGAATAAGGACATTCAACTCTTTCTCAAGGAGGGTGCGTTTGTGACGCTCTTCATCAAGTTGTAGTTTGAGGATGGAGTGTTCCTTCTCCTGTTGAGGATCCTGCTGCAGAACCACCTTTTGTTTGACTGTCACCTTTTCACGATTTTCTTTGTCACGGATCTCTAGCTCATTAAGTCTCACCCGAAGCCGCTGGATCTCTAGTTCTGCATCACGCCTTGCCCTGCGCTCACGCTCCAGTTCTTCCAGCTGCATGTCCAGGTCAGTCTTCTGTCTCTCCAGTTGGTAGAGCTCTGTTTTTAGGCTTTCCTTCTGTTTTTGCTCATTGTTGATGTTCTGTAAGAAGCTGTCACACTCTGACTTAAGGAGAGGATCCTCTTCCATCTTGACCACTTCTTCCTGAACAATCTTCTCACGAACCTGAGACAAATCCATCTTTCTTAGTCTAATTCTTTCTTCTTGTTCTGTCCGCTCTCTCTCAAGGTCCAGGCGTTTCTGCTGTTCATCAGCCAGCTTCCTCTTTAGCATTTCAATTTCTTCCTTAGTCTTTGGATCTTCTCTGTACTGCTTCACTTCATTGATAATCTCTCTGGTCTGCACTTGGGGTTTGGTATTCTTCCATCTTTCGATTTCATCTCGAAGCTGGCGGATTTCTAGCTCAGATTTCTCAGTCTGGTGGCTTTTATCTACAATTTCATTGCGAAGTCTCTCCAGCTCTCTTTCAGTTTGTGGATCTATCTTATATTTGATTACTTCTTTGATGATCTCTTTAACTTCCACTTGAGGCCCTCTGTTCTTGAGCATGGCCAGCTCATCCTCCAGAGATCTCAACTGGAACTCTGCATCTTTATACCGCCTCTGATGCTCTACAAGTTCAAGACGGAGATTGGCCACTTCGTTCTCAGCCTTGGGATCGGGCCGGACAATCTCTCGTACTTTCTCTTGAATCACAACCTTAGACTTGTCCTCCTCCAGGCTTGCAATTTTCCTCTGGAGGTCAGTCTTTTCCCGCTGTGATGATCTTCTTTTGGCCTTCTCATCTTCGTACTGCCTCCTAAGGTTTTCTACCTCTCTCTCAAAGGCAGTATCCTTCTCAACTTTCAGCACTTCCTTGATGGAAATCTTTTCCTCAGCCATTGATTTCTCCTTCTCCAGTCTTCGAAGCTTTTCTTGAAGAAATTGCAACTCATCCTCCAGCTGCCTTCTGCTTTCTATTTCCTTCTCTTTCCTGTCAAGCAGCACCCTGTACTCACTTTCCAGTTGGGGGTCATTCTGGACTTTGATCACCTCCTCTTCAGTGATTACCTCCTGTTCCTTGCTCTTCTCCTCAGCCAGGAGTGTCACATGTTTTTGGATCTCAATGAGCTCGTTGTCTTTAATCAGCCTCTGCCTTTTTAGCTCTTCCAGCTCCTCCCGAAGCTTTCGGACCGCCTCCTCCTGACCACGGTCTCTTTCTATACGCAAGACCTCCTTCACTGTGTACTGCTGTGCCCCTTCTTTGACCTCTGTCTCGAGGCCACGCAGCTTCAACTTTAGTACCTCAAGGTCATTCTCCAGGACGTGGGTAGTGCGGCGCTCCTCTGACAACTTCTGCTGGACTTTGTAGAGTTCCTCATCCAGCTGGGGGTCTGGAACCTTTTTAATTAGCTCCTTCTTAACAATCGTATCCTGGGGCTTTTGTCCTTCAAGCATATAAATGTCAGTCTGAATGGTCTCTATTTCTTTTTCTAGTTGCTCCCGCCTATGGATCTCATCTTCTAGCTGTTTTCTTATTCTCCACGGCTCCTCACCAGGGGCACTGGCTTGGACCGACTTGACATTTGTAACTTGGATAGTCTCAGATTGCTATAGAGAGAAAATAATCATTATTATTACTGTAGTTTTAATGTTTATGTAGCAATGATATGTAAAATAGTTTACCTGGCTCAGAAGACTGCTGGCAAACTCCAGATTCTGCAGTCTTTGCTTATTTACAGCATTCACCTCAGTAAACTTTGCCTCGATAGCTGCTTCCTGCAAACGATGAAATAACATGTAATGAAAATCACATACAGTAACTTCTTTAGGGGTTTTTGGCTTATGCCCTTAAGCTGAGGATTGTGGTTGTTAATTTGCACGAGTCTGTGTCAAGAAGCATCTCTTTTCCTGTAGATACTTTTTGCCCATAGACAGTATAAAATATTGATGTTGCTTCTGGCCAGTGTCAAAGTGCCTCAACTTCTATTTGTACGTAAATATTGGCCACACCATGAATGGATGATTATCTGTGCAGCTTGTGATTGACATGTCAATGAGGAAATGGATTCTCAGTCAGACATGACCCTCCTTATCACATCTGTCTTTTTTTTTTTTTTTAAACCAAGATGGCAATAGTGAAAAAAATCATCTTGAGGAAACCAATGGATGTCACAGCAACAATGGCAATCTTATATACTGTCTACATGGAGAGAAATGTTCCTCAAAGGGGTTGCAAATATATAATAATGTGTACAATAATTTTGTGAACCTTTTGAGGACTCGCACGAGTGTGCTACGTTTGACCAAACATCGAACAATTTTACAAATGCGTACATACAAACATAAATACATTCTGATCATTTACGCACAGAGTCTTGAATCCGATGATTTTACTTTTCGATAACTTTGCTATGCGTACAAATGTCTAAAAACTACACTTAACATCTCTCTCACTCACTTACAAAACCTTAAATACATGTGGATGAATGGCCTGAGACACACAGATGCCAACTTGGGGTTTTGAGACAAGTTGAACGCTGCCAGATCCACAAATGGAAAATGCATTCAAGTCCCAGTGTAAAACATCTTGGCTCCCACTGTAAATACACCCTCCCTTCCCTAAATAACCTTTACCAGAAAACATTACTAATTACAGACACTACAGAGTAGCCTATAAAGATAAGGGTACTCCCACAGTCCAAAGACATGCAGTTCGTGGTTAATTGGTAATTCTAAATTGCCCATAGGTGTGAATGTGAGTGCGAATGGTTGTCCGTCTCTGTGTTAGTCCTGTGATAGACTGGCGACCTGTCCAGGCTCTACCCTGCCTCTCGCCCTATGACAGCTGGGATAGGCTCCACCCTCCCATGACCCTAACAAAGAGGAGAATAGATGGATGGATATAATCCAGGTAAGTGGAACACTTTGATGTTAATCGTACCCATCTCACCGTTCTCTAATCCTGAATATTTCAGAGTGTGCAGGCTACTGTGTAGTGTTTGTTATTGGTAAATCTGTGTTTTCTAGTATTTAATAACAATGCCAGCAGATCAGCTGATCTTAATGCAGGCCTACAGCTCAGCTCACGCTGTAGGCTGGGATTCAATTATCAAATTTATTACAGGGCACATTATTTAAGCTACTTTAGCATCGTCTATCACCAGCTCCTTGTTTTGTGATGCCATCCATCCATTCGCTTCCACTTATCCTTTTCAGGGTCGTGGGGGGCGCTGGAGCCTATCCCAGCTGTCATTGGGCGAGAGGCGGGGTGTACCCTGGACAGGTCGCCAGTCTGTCGCAGGGTACACACAGGGACAGACAACCATTCACTCCCGCATTCACACCTAGTGGCAATTTGGATTAATCAATTAACCTATCACCACAAGATGCATGTCTTTGGACGGTGGGAGGAAGCCGGAGTACCCGGAGGGAACCCACGCAAACACGGGGAGAACATGCAAACTCCACACAGAAAACTTGATGGTGGAATTGAACTCAGGACCTTCTTGCTGTGCGGCAACAGTGCTCACCACCGTGCTGCCCTGTTTTGTGATGCATCGAACATAATGAGTTTCATGTGTCGTCACTGATATCTGCTCTGTTCTGTGCTGGGGTCTTGCTGCTCACCAATGCTTGCAAATATATATATGACTGCAACGCAAATATCAAGTGTTGTTTTGATGTTTGTGGCTGAACTCAGCTTGTCTAAACAACCCGATAACTGCGTCATCAGGGTAACCTCAGCGTTTGTTTGAGAGTACCAGAGAAAACTGTGTAGTTTGAAATGCATCCAATGAAAGACTGGAACATTTCTGAGGTCATGATTCTTTCAGGATGTATCAGGTTCTCTTGCTTTTGTTTATTCATTGTTTAAATTTGTATCCCAGCTGAAAATGAGCTCTGAGCTAGAAGACCTGTGTTGGTCATAGCAGTTAGCAACACAAGTTTAAACTGTGCTTCGCCGTGCATGCTGTGCCTTACTTCTGCCTTGACTGTTGCTGCAGGTGATTCCAATCTGCTCCTCTTGTATGTCTGAGGTACAAGTCCATCCTCAAGATCGAGGATCGATTTGAACTTCTCAGCTTCAGTCTCATAGTCCTGAAGAGTGAATCAGTAAACAATCAAACCTTTAACTTTTCTCAAAGATCATATGATAAAAAAAATCAATGGAGAAAAACTGACTTTGACAGCTTGCTGGTACAGCTGGGCGTTTTTGGAGACATTGTTTAAATCAGACTCCTTCCTCGCTAGATCAGAAAGCAGGTTCTGCAGAAAAGAGCAGAGTTAAGTGCCACGAACATTCATGTGTAACGAGAAATATGCAGAATTATCGCTCAGCATTCGTACCCTCTGATTTCTCAGCTTCGTTTCCACTTGTTTTGGGTCATCAGTGTCACGGGGCTCGTAATTTGGAACGCGAGAGAGCCAGCTGTTCAAATTGTCATAATCATTGCGGTAGTTTTTGTACGCCATCTTGGCTCTCTGCAAGCTTTGAGCCCTGCACAAACAAACAAACCAAAACATTTCATCAGAGATCGTCTTTACATATGAAATGACCTTCTGTGCTTCAGGGACCCTGATGGTCACGAGCCAAAAAGCGTTGGTCAGGTAAGAAAGTCTCCATGCACCTTGGGTAGGTGATGTTGTGCTAGAAATGTCTGGCTGTCGATGACGTCCTGTGCTGTATAGGGCTGCCACGATTAGTCGACTATTAAAATCGT